ACTCTTTTGTTTTCTTTTCCCTAAAGGAGCTCAATTGTGATTTTTATCTATGACATGAAAGAGAGATGAGGTTTCATCGACTTGAAGATAACAACAGTGACTTTTAAAGAAAAGATTAGGATTTTTGCCCGTATTTCTGAACATCATAAATGTGGCAGATAAAAGATGGTCGCAAACCCTCTGCCCCTCCTCCCACTGACAGGCAGGGTCTATTTCCCCTCCCTTGAATCTGGGCTGGCACGTGACTGCTTTCACCAACAGAGTATGGTGGAGCGATGCTATGCCAGTTCTGGGTCAGCCTTTAAGAGAACTGGCAGCTTTTACCATGCTCTCTCGGCACCTCTCACCATGTAAAAGTCAGACCACTCTGCTGGAGAGACCCTGAGTCTACATGGAAAGGGAGAGGGTCTCAGTGGAGTCCAGGCTCCCAGCCATCCCCACCAAGGTGCCAGGCATGTGAGTGAAGCTGCGTTGGACTCCTCAGATCAGACCAGCAACCAGGGAGATGCCACTGAATGACCCCAAAGCAGAAGAATCAGTCAGCCAAACCCTTCCTGAATTCCTATAAGATAAACCCCTGTAAGATATAATGTGTTGGTTGTTTAAAGCCATTCATTCTGGGGAGAGTTAGTTATGCAGCAATAGCTAACTGGTACGATACAAGCATCAGCACCACTAACCACCGTGAAACCCTGCTGGAGTGAATGCCTTTGGGGTATCTGCCTAATTTCCTTCTCTTCTGGGATTCACCCCCATTCCTACCCTGTCACCCCAAACTGCCATCTTGCATCTTTCTCCTGCCCTAGCTTCAGCTGTTTGGATCAGTAGGAGACATGTGACCCTAACTGGGCCACTTGGATTCTCTCCCAGACAACTCTTTGTCTCTAGCCACAGATGATAGGAGTGGACATCTGACTTGAGCTGAGCCAATCAGATTCTGTCTCCCAGATTGGGAGAATGGGGCATCAGAGGTGGCTCTTCAGTCTGTGGCTGTGGCGAGCGGTCACTGAGATGTACATTTGGAGGGACGGGAGCATCTATTTTCTCTTGGGTGTAGGGAAGCATGGAGAAAGCCAGTATGTTTTGGAGAAGAATGGTGCAGGTATGCAGAGCAGTAGTGGTAATGGACTGTGTAGAGCACAGGGAGTAAGGGGAGGAGGGGGAATACCTGCCTTGAGTTTTGGACATTTTTTGGGTCTGGAAGCACACATTTTGGGGTCTATGAGTACCCTTGCATCCTCAGAATTCTTTCTCTTGCTTAAGTGGCTGTGAATGGATTTCTGCTTTTTTGCAACTGGAAAAAATGGCCTCCATGATGCCTGAGATAAGTATGTCCAGCCCTAGAAACTGAAGAGAAAGCTTCCTTGGCTAGTGAGGTGACAGGAACGTCTTTCTGTTGACCTTCCCTCTGCTAGGCGAGGGTGACTGGGAGTGAGTCAAGCCCAGTCTAGTCTCCTGTAGGCACCCACACTCACAAAGCCCAATACTAAACTCCTCCTCATCCAAAAACGACTTCAAACCCTGCCTTCCCTATCCTGGTTAAGGGAAACCATTCATTGTCTAAGCTAAAAACAGTGAGAGACTGCTACTTTGCTTCCTTTCTGACCTCTCAAGTCCAACTGGTAAACAATCCTGCCTCTTCTAACGTGGCCCCCTCCTCTCCACCCACGGAGAGTGCCCTCGCCCCTGCCCTGCCCCCAGATCTCCCTCTGAAAACAGATCTGGTCACACCACTGCTCTGTGTACAGCCCCCTATGCTTCCCCTTGTTCCTGGTCGGCAGGGTCCATCACAACCAAGGTAGCTGATCTAATTGCGAGTCATTGACTGCTCTCCCCGGACACGCCTCACAAGTTGCTCCCCACAAACCCTGCTTATTTTCGCACCTCCTCTTCTCTCTGTGTGGAATATCCATCTGCCCTTCTTTTCCTGGAAAAGTCAAACCCAATCCAAGGTCAAATTTGAATGACACCTCATCTGTGAAACGTCCTCTGACTTTCATCGGAGGCGTCTATATGTCAAGTGCAGGGCTAAGCAATCTGCCTGGGTGACCGCTGTACCTCAAGCTAGACGTTATGGGTTCCATTTTACAGAGGAGGAAACAGGGTCATAGAGGGTAAGTGCCCCTCCTGAGGCCACACAGCTGGCAGGTTCAAGAGGCAGGGTTCCAGTCCACAGCTGTCAGCCTGCACAGCCTGTGCCCTCACGTACCACACTGTACTCCATGGTCTTTTCAGTCCCCTGGTACAGGGCTGGGGGGGCATTAATGGTGTCTTCTCAGTTTCCAGAGAAGTTGCTGCACAGTACCCACCACTCTCAATATGTCTGCAGGTCTGGATGGCCAATGGTGAGGCATTCAAGGGCAGAAAGAGTCATAATCACTGTTGTGTCCGGGTGCCTAGCCCAGTGTTTGGTTCTAAGTGTTCGATAAATGTTAGCTGAAATGAAATACTGCTCTTGGATGATACACAAAGCTGTTTTGTCCCACATGACATCATTCAACAGCTTCCTCAAAGCATTTTTAGACCCTTTTCTTCCACCTCTTTAGTAATGGCAAGACTTTGTCTAGGTTCAGTTCCCTTGACTGCCACCAGTCTGCTCTCTCTCCCAGTCCATGGCAGAGGGTGATGTCTGCCTTCACGGATCCTGGCTCTTTGGATCACACACAAATGGGTGACCTCAGGGTCCCGGCTACCTCAAGAGAGCCCAAGTTATACCTCCTGCAACCACATCCTTTATAAACAAACACAACAAAAGCAGAGCAAAGCAGATAGCAGGCGAAAACATGTGCTCAGAGATGGGGCACCCCTGAGTGGCAGAGCCGAGTGGGGTGACCAGAAGGAGGGCATACACATCATGACATAAAGTGGGGCATGGCCACCATGCTCCCCACTCTGTGTCCCTGTCTTGTCCTATGCATACAACCATAGAGAGAGGATGGCATTTCCTCTCATCTCAAGAGTCCATACAAAGGCAGAAGGAACACCCCCCACCCCGCCCCTCCCACCCCGCCCCTAAAGTCCTGCTGTCTTTTCAGATCCCAAACACTGAGCTGTCTTGTTCTCTACCCACAGACCAGAGGCTGTCTCAGCAGGAAGAAGGTGGAGAAAGGGGAGAATTAAGAATCTATCTAGCGGATTAAACAAACAACAAATTGGCAGTTTCGTTTTTTAAAAAGGTAATATCCACTCCTGGCAAATAGAGAGGAAATTGGGCACTTTTGATATACTGTTTGTGTGTGTGTGTGTGTGGGGTGAATTGGTATAACCTTTCTAGAGGGCAACTGGCAATATGTAATAAAAGACTTAAAATATGCATTTCTTTTGAGCCTGTAATTGCATTCGTAGGGTTTCATCTTAAGCATATAAAGAATGTTGTGTGCAAATATTTGGCTCCAAGGATATCCACCAATGCACTGTTGAAAGAAGTGTGAGCCCAGGAGTCACCTACATTCCAGCCTCAGAGGACTGAGTGAGTAATCTGCAGACCTCTGCAGCCGTAAGGCAGCGCTGGAAATGGGAACATGGAAAGATGTTCACAATATGGCATTCAGGGAAAAACAGGCTGCAAAACAGAACGCAGGATGTCCGAAAAGCATGGAACATAAGATAAACTTATTTTCAAGTAATATGCTCAATAAAGTTTTCTTCTGCTTCCAGGCACTTTTTCAGGTACAGTATCTCTAAAACGAAAGCAATTGGTCCAACTGTCGATCTGAATGTACAATAACAACACGATTTTCCCTGTGTATCTAGACTTCTTGGAGAAAGTGGATTTATTATACTTTTATTCAGATTAATAATTAAACCCATTGCTTTAATTTTCAAGGTACTACACCTGAAAATATATCAAGTATGTTACTGGAAAATTTAACATACTACTCAAAAATAAGTAGATGCTATGGAATGCCCGGCCTACATCTATTTTACAAACAAACAAACAAAAAAGTCAAGAAGAGAACAGTGTGCTCACCATGGTTATTTCTGGGATGTGGATTTCTGAGTGTTTTACAACTTATTTTTCTTATTGATAGGTTACTATACTTGATCCATAAATACAAATTATTTTTAATCCCAAAGAGACTAATTATTTGAATTTAAAGCATCCTTCCATAGTAATATAAGAGGCTGTTTCCACCTGCATCTGAAACTTGAAACACTGGAAAAGCAGGGCTTTGGTGTCAGGAAGTCCCAGCTACGGGTCCCTGGTGCAGTTCTAGGAGCTGGGACACAGTGGGAATGAGAACAGACCCTCACTGGGACAGACAAACCTTCATCAGTTAACCGCTCTGACACCATTATTGATGAATACAGAGGCTCTGAAGTCCAAGGACTCCAGGTCTCTGAAAGGAGAATGTGAAGCAAAAAAACCATCCTAGACTTTGAGATGAGGACACCCCTTTCTCCTTGAGAAGGTGACAAGATACAAAGGATGAGCAGGTGTTCCCTGGTGACGGAGGCGGGGCCAATCTACACTCTTGGTCACCTACCAATGCACCACCATTAGGTGGGAGGACATAGGATGCAGCTACCCAGGCAGGACTCCAGGCTTGCAGCTCATCACAGTTACCTGAGCTGTCTGGACAGAAACCTTTCTCATATTCCACAAGGGAAAGGAACGGAGTTGCTCTGTAGTTTCCTTGTTTGTTTGTTTTAAGGAAATGGTAAACCACCCGAGTTCCAGCTGTTCTCCCAACACTTCAGTTTTGGAGTTGGGCTCCCACCTTACGCCAGGAGTGATGGGAAGGCAAGAAAAAAGGGGAGTCAGCTTTCTGCTCTCCCTCTCAAGTGGTCCAATCTGCAGTTGCGAAGGGCCTCAAAAGGAGCCAACGTTCCATCTGCCACCTGAAGGAGACACCGCCCTCCCTCTGCTACACCGGCACCATGAAGGTTCTCACAGGAATGCTCTTTCTTCCAGTAGGCTTTCACCCTGGCGAGGCAGGGGGGCCGGGCATCTGATTGTGGGCATGCCACGGGGACCTGCGACCGCGCACTAGACTCACCTTCCAGAGCAGCACAGCCAGCAACAGGAAGATGAGGATTCCCACCAGCAAGCTTATGGCAATGATCCACCCCACGACGTAGCCACGGGGCTCCAGGTTGTGCAAGGCCTCGAAGACCACCTAGGAGGCAAAGCAAACGTGAGAATGTTTCCCACCGGAAGTGCCCATAGCATGATGGAGCCCAGCCCGGGCTTGACATGTGGTGTGAACGACAGCAGAAATCATTCCTTTCTAGGTGAAGACAAATGAAAGAAAACTGCCTACAAAACAGTAGTCAGTCTGGGAATGGAAATGAGGCCTCTTGGCAACACATGCTCACTGGCTGTGTGACCTTGGGTGACATACTTGGCCTCTCTGAGCCTCATTTTTCTCATCTGCAAACTAGGGGTAGAACAGCACCTCCCCATAAAATGCAAGCGGATAATGCAGGTAGACCTCCCCCGCACAGCATCTGGTGGAGCCCGCCCTTGACAAATGGAAGTGCTCCTATTAGCATCATCATTGCTGGCAGGGAGATTTTTTTTTTTTGAGGTTGTGCATGGTTGGCTACTTTTTAATTTTAATGATTTATTGATGTCTAATATAGAGAAAAGTGTACCTAGCCTAAGTGCACAACTCTCTGAATTTTTATATACTGAATGCTAAACACATCTGTGAAACCACCACCCAGATCAAGAAACAGAATGTGACTAGCCCCCCAGAAGTCCCCTTCACACTCCTTTCAGTCACGACCCCCAGCAAGGGTGGTACTACCCGACTTCTAAGAGCCTGAATTCACTTCGCCTGCTTTTGTCCTCTATATAACTGGAATGGCACTATGAATTCCTGTGTCTGGATTCTTTCTCTCATGTTATATTTGGGAGATTCATCCAGGTCATGGCATGTTTATTTTCATTGGTGTAGAGTATCTCACCATGTGAATATACAATTTATTTATCCAGCCTACCTATCTAGGGGCTCTCACAATGAGCAACCATGAAGGAGGGATACTTGGGGATGGATGGCGGTGGGAGAGAAATGGGATCTAATGTCTGTCCTCAAGAGCCCACTATTTTCTATCTGGTTTGGATGAAAGAATCTTGTCTTTAAAGACAGATTTATGCCTCTGGGTTCTTGCCCCTAAAAAGCTGTGGATAGCATTCCCTCCCACCTTCAGAATCTCTCATGGTCTCCTGTACAGATGAATTATGAGGCACCACGGCCAAGAGGTATGACCTTAGGCAACCAAGATACTACTCTCAGTTTCCTCCTTGGTGAAATGAGGGTCTGAAAAGGAAAATGAGAAGGTTTTGTGAAAGTTTCTGGCGTACAGTCGTGTAATGAAATCTGTTGAACCTTCTTGTTGATAATGAAATGCTGAGACAGGCTGTGAGCTCAGTGAGGGGTCAGCTGTAAAGTCCAGCCCTTTGGGCAACCCTGATGGCTTCTCAGGGACACCACCCGTCCCTCGGTGGCAGAAATCTACACCCCAGCAAAGCCACGCTGGAGGTCTGGTCGTGAGGCTACAGACACAGTGAAGAGTATCCACTACAGTTTAGTCTGGCCAATTCCACATGACTGCCCTGTCACATCCCCGGAATGTGTGCTTCTTCTTTTGTTTTTAGTGATGCCATTCATCTTCTTGGACGTGTGCTTGATGCTTTGGCAGAGATGATTCCCACACATCACGACTCTAATAAACTCATTTGGGGGTGATGATCTGAGCATCCCATGGTGCTAAGAGGGCATATCTTAGATAAAAACCCAAAGGAAGGAATGAAAGCATGGACTTCGGAGAGAGCCAAGAAGCATTGACAAGCAGGTCTCGTCTCCACCACTGAAGAGCTAGCAATCTTGGTCAAGTCCCCCTTTCTCTAAACATCTTTTCTCTTCATCCTCATGTTTCCATCTCCAGTTCAGATCTGGTCTTTTCTCACCAGCACAAAAACCTTGGAGAGGCCTCCCTGCTGTTATCTTTGTAAAACGTAGGTCTCATCATGTTGCCTCTCAGCTCACACTATCCATGGCTTCCCTTTATACTGAATATTATAATTCAGGGTACCAGGATCTGTACAATCTGGCCTCCATGGTACCTTTCCAGCCCTTGGCGGGACATGTATGCATTCGCATTCTGGTCAGCTGGCGTCATCTCCCCTGTGAGTCTCCTGCCTGTGGTCTCCTGCCTCTCGTGGGCTGCTTTTTTGCTACCTGGAATGCTCCTCTGCTCATGTTCATTTGACATACTCCAATATTGCTCATCTTACAAATGTTCCTACCCTTGGATCCACTGATTCTGTCCTTGAAAATTTGCCCAAAGGTAAGAAATATAAAATACAGAAAAAGTTTTAAATTCAAACATGTTCACTGCACAATTATTTAGATAGGTGCAGGCATTAAAATATCCTCAATGTCTAACAATAGGGCCATAAGTAAGAAAATGCTGATTAATCACAAATTAATCACTATTAAAAATGGTGATGATAAACCTGGCTGTCAAAGTATGATTTTCAAAAAGTTAAAACATGACTCTCATACAAAAATACAGCAAATACACATTAAAGACTTTTAAAATTCATTTTTGAGGGAATCAGGGGATGGCAAAGCTAGTTCAAAGAAGGATCTGAATATACGTGTAGTCATTGAAAAAACAAAAAGAATTTTGAAATCAGATACAAAACTGGTTAATACCCGAGAGACAATAAACTATATAACCATTGGGATTATATTTTCTGCCAGACAGAAATCAGTTTCATCTTTTCTGGGAAAAGTCATTTATAATTTACCAGTCTTTTATGGGTTAATATGTATCTTCACAGAAGCTGGGCCCTGGATTAGGCAGGCCTGTGGGACCAGGGCTGTTCTCACATTTTAACGTGTACAAGAATCACACGAGGAACCTGGATACAATGCGGATTCTGAATCAGGGAGTCAGGGTTGGGGCCTGAGATCCTCCAAGTGAAGTGAGTGCCTGACGATGCCCATGCTGCTGGCCCACGGACCACACTTTGAGTAGAAAGGGGCTAGCGAGTGCTCCGGGGCGCCGTTGAAGAGACATCATCTTTTTGCCTGATTTCCAAGTTTTAAATAATCTTGAAAACATGATAACAACATGGGAGAAATAATAACTATTATAATGAAAAGTGAAAAAAATCAGGACATCAATTTAATATACAGAAGACTTCAGCTTTGCAGCCAAATGATAGGAAACTTTTAAAGTCAGTAGGGGGTTTCTGAGGTTACGGGTATTTTTCTTTCTCTTTTCTACTTTTTACTATTAAAAACAAAATGTAACTGAGCATTTAAAGCCAAGTGAAAAAAAAATTAAAGAGAGCAACTCTGCTCCAACACCTTTTCTTCCAAGAAGCCTGACCCACGTCTCTCTTTTCAGCCTAATTAATCATTCTCGGAGCTTTGGAAACATGGACATTCTCAACCTCTTTTAGCAGCGAAAACCTACTGGAGTGTCCCAATGTATAAAGTAGAAAAAAGCGGGGACTCCCTGGCTGTAAAGAAGGTGGGCAGTCAGAGCCTCTCCTGCTCAACCCCCTTCCCAAGCCTGTCTATCACTCTACCGCAGGACCAGCGGCCCCTGAACTAACTTGAGGGAACCCAGGGCTCCACAAAGCTTAGTTTTAAAACCACAGCGAGCATTTCAAAGTCCCAGTTTTAAGCCCTTCCCACTCTGAAAGGTAATGATGTATCTTCCTGTCAATGGGCTCCAGCAAACTGAATTCTTATAGAACAAGAGCTCGAATGCATGCTCTCCTGTCCCCTCAGTCCAGGTGGTGATTCATTATGTGATTGATGAATGAGTACATTAATAAAGCCAATGTCGTTTCTGCCATAACGTTAGTTGACGCATGGATGATTTAGTCTACAACAAAAGAGATGATGGGATTTGAAGCTGCAGTCTCTGAGTGTGCCTCTCTTCTCTCTACTTCAAAAATGTATCTGCAAGTGTTATTTCTTTGGGGAAGAGTCCTGGGCATCCATCCATCCGCCCATCCACCCACCCATCTCTTGGTCCATCCATTCATCCACCTGTCTATCCACCCCATCTGTCCACCCATCCATTTGACAAATGTATGCGTTGCACCTATTGCCAAGGACTGTGGAGACTCATTGATAAATAAAACAGGCAGTCTTTCGTTCTCAGAGCTTTCAGCTTGTAGAGAATACTGGCCAATTAGATACATATGCAAAATTATAACTCTGGAAAGTGCCACAAGAGAGAGAGGTTCCCGGTTATAAAAGGCCGAGATAGGCATGGCAATCAGAAAGTTTCTTGATGAACTGCTTGAGCTGCAAGTTAAAAGGTAAGCAGAAGTTAACTAGTCAAAAAAGGGAGGGAACAGGTTAACAGCTCACTCAAGAGTGCGAGCTCTGAGCAACAGCGGTTTGATGCCCCACCTGAGCTGAGCTGCCAATAGGTGGCAGGATGGCTCAGCTGAAAAAAAAAAAAGGGGGGGGGGAGGGAACATTATTCCAAGGAGAAGGAACAGTATGTGTAAAATCCCTGTGACAGGAGTGAGCTTGGCAGGGGTGAGACATTACCAGTGGACAGTGAGGTTGGAGCAAACATACTGAACTAGAAGCCAGAGGAAGATATTTAGGATGAGGCTGGAGAAATGGGACGGGCTGGAGGCCATGTTAAGAATTATATGCTTTATCTTAAGAGAAATGGGAAGCCAATGAAGGGTTTTAACTAGGGGAGTTACATGATTTGCATTTTGCAAAGAGCACTTTAGCTGCAAAACGAATGTAGGAGAACTTTCTGTGAGGATTCAAGGAACAAAGAGCCCCAGTATGAGGACTGCAGAGGAATTGGTTTCCCCAGGGCAGATCCATGCTTCTGGTATGAAAAGAGATAAAAGGTTGAGGATGAGGGGGAGTCTGCTTTTAGAGGTGGTAGGAGGCTGACAGAGGAGGAACGCACAGTGTGATGGGCGAAGGGGGATGGAGGACGGCCTGCTGTGGACTGAAGTTGGAGGGCTTCTGTGTTGGATGCTAACTAACAAAACACAAGAAAATAGGAGCAGGAGGATGTGCTTCAACAGAGCCCCTGAGGACATCATCAGGCTGGGGCGATAGCATGGCCCAGACACTGATATCCTGCCTGCTGCTGCAAAGTACAATGCACC